ATATAAATATGATGCATAATTATACACACACGCCCGCGCGCGTACACTTACAAACAATATATGTATATAATAGATTATGCAATGTTTTTTTACAAATTATTCACAAAGTGTTGCCCATTACAATTCCTGGCGTAACTGACCGAATGCGCAACGATCTGCGCTGATCTACGCCGCGAGATGTCGCTGCATACCGATATTATGCAATGTGTTTTTTTTACAAATTATTCACAAAGTGTTGCCCATTACAATTCCTGGCGTAACTGACCGAATGCGCAACGATCTGCACCGATCTACGCCGCGAGATGTCGCTGCATACCGATATAAGGAAATACCAACGTGAGAGGTAGAGCCATAAAAATAATATAGATAACCATATAGATATTCTATCTTTATTATTTCTACGGGTGGAGCGCTCGATCCTCGCCGTTACAAATTCCTGCATGTTTCGCAGCAGGAAAAATACACGTATTTCTTAATTAATAACGTATTTCTTAATTAAGACGTGTATTTTTCCTGCTACGAAACAGAAACAATTAACATTAATTAATTAATTAATTAAACCTGCTCGACGTTGAGCAATTAACCCCTAGCATCATACAGCTCTCCTCTGTCGCCCCCCCCCCCTATAGCGACTCATCTCATGTTAAAGTACTTGGGACGCACTCGCCCCACCCCGCTTCCAACGAGCTGCTTTCAGCTGCCTTCTAAAGGGCACACTTACGGCTTTCCCTTTAGAAATCATCGTGTGCTGGTGACCCTGGCCCTAGACGTTTCCAAGGCCAGCAAACGCTCCTATAGCCGCTATCAGAAAAGCACCCTCGCACTGCACGCAGCACCTTCATTTACTTATAACGACGTGTAGCAGACCGGTTCGCAAGCAGCCATATCTCCCTCTCTCTCACTCGCTCTCGCTCGCCCTCTCCCTCTCTGTGTGTCTCTCCGCTGCACTCGCTCTCTCTTTCTCTCTCTCTCTCTCTCTCTCTCTCTCTCTAGCGCTCTGATCAACGTGACCGCACTCGCGATCAACTCGCTATATATATATACACGTCAACTCATCGTCGTCATCATCAGCATGGCCGACGACAGAGAGAATATTCCCGAGATGTACAAGCACGTGAAGTTGGTGACTCGGTCGGCTGGCAACGGTCGGCTGGGAGGCGTCGGCGTCTACGACAACCTGGTACCAGCGCTGCAGCGTGGCGACCTCATCGTGCACGACGACGACATCTGGATCATCTCCTATCCGAAATCAGGCGAGCATGTGATTCTTACGTATATTATTCCAAGAGCTATATATATGGACTCTTGATATATATATATA